TCCTTCTCCTATCCGACGGCTGCGGCATACAACATCCACTTTCCGTCGCCCTTGTTCTCCGTCAGCAGTTCCATCCAGTACGCCGCTCCGATGACAAGCCAGCCTGCCTGTTCGCCGTTCGCCACGGGAGTAGGATTCAACAACACGCGCCTGTCAGGTATTCTTTCCCCCTCTCTGACACACGCGCGGCCATCCGCCACCGCCACCGCTACAAGTAATATAGCCAACGATACCGACGCTGCAAGACGGGGTCCGCCAACGCCCTTGCCATTCACTCATCCTTATTCCGCAGGATACTACATTTCGACCGGTTTGACACCGCTCTACGCGACGACCCAGTTCCGAGCTATACAAGGTGATCCGTTCTTTGGCGCCGTATCGCATCTGACGCCGACACCCAGTTGTTCCTCGTTTGAAGCTGCTCAACAGGGATTCATTGGCGCTTTTCCATCCACACCGCTGGCCCATATGCAGTCGAGGAATCACGAGCAACCCAGGATGACGGAACAGTTCCAGGAACCTCACGCGAACAACGGGAACGAGACTTCGATCGTGCAAGACAACAAGGACAAGGCCTCTCAAGCAACGGATATCGATCAAAAGCCCTCCGAGTCTTCCCTGGCGGATCTTTCAGCTGCTCACGAGCAGTCCACTCTCTCGCCTCAGTCGACTCGAGAACAGGTCCAAGCGCCGATGGACGTTCAGCCTCAAATGGTTAACGCAGCCCCTTTCGAAGCTCGTCCCCAGTTCGCTTCTATTCCCATGCAACAAACTTCTGTTTCGTTCGAGTACCCAATTTCCGCTGGATTTGGCACTCAACGTGAGTTTCCACTGATTAGTTGCTTTCGGGCGTCCGACACTGACGCTCCAACCTATACAGTATCAGCGAGTGCGCCGAATTTCGCATTCAACGGACACCCCAGTAATCGACTGCCTTCTGTTTCGTTCCCATCCTCTGCGCCCGTTTTCAGCCACCCAGGACAAATGTACTCGATCTACTTTAGTGCAGATGGGCAAGCACATTATATGCCCAATGCGATGCCCCCTCAAGCGATCACCGACATGAACGGTAGCCTCACTTATGCGTATCCCCCGCAAGCGTTCCAACCAGCGCAACCGATGCCCCATCATGCATGGGCACGACAGCAGAACGCGTTTGCGTATCATTATGGAGAGACGGATGCTGAAGTGGACGAACCGACGCCCGATCATAGGCACGCAAAGTCTGTTACCCCACTCACGGATCGCGGCGGTAGGGGGTCGATGAGCAGGTACGATGGACGAGATGAAGATGCCGAGGGGGAAGATGATGATGATTACGATGACGACCATTCATTGATGCTTCCACCACCGCCAACAAAGAGCATGAAACGGTCACGAAGTTATTCCCGGATGTCCAGTCCCGACACGAGCGCCGTCAGTGATGTCGAATGGCAACCGCGACGCAAGACCGCGAAAAAAGTCTCCTCCTCGACGACGATCACGGATGTTCCGCGAAAGAGTGTAGATAGTAAGCGGCCTTCGGCGCGTAAGCCCGTGTCCAAGAAGTGGGAGTATGTTGATCCAGATGGGGATGTGGGAGATGGCGAGATCCGGTATACGAGCAATGCCGAGGCTAAGCAGACGGAGCGGGTGAGTTCATGTGTTCCCATGGCAGTGTGGCGCTATGACTGATCATACCCTCGGGTTTCAGCTCAAGAGGCAATGTTTTACCTGCAAGTGCCGAGATCCGCCCAGCTGGAGACGAAGTCATCTCAATCAGGAGAATATCGTAAGTTGGTTTTTTTGGCTTCGTTCTGCTATTCAGGAAATGACCTCTTTCCGGTAGCTGTGCAACCGATGTGGTATCTATGAAAAGACGCACCGCGTCCCTAGACCTGTCCCGCTTGACGAAATCCCCAACCAATCCGTCCGTGTAGTAACGACCGATGCAAAGAAGCGCAAGAAGTCGGTGAAGGAGCTCGGCTTGAAATCGCTCCAGATTGCTAATCGCGGTAATGGAAATTTGAGCGTTGGTCGTGAGAACGAGCAAGGCGTGCGACGGGTCATCAACGCGCGGGGATTTGAGGAGCATGATTCCGAGGATGATAGTGGCGAAGACCGACGGGTCAGCTTGAACTCGAACCGTGAGTAGAACTCCAGGTTGGGTACATTGATCTTGCAGTAACTGACACTCGAGTCTTCTTTGAAGAATCCGGTCGTTCCGCCGGTGTGGCATCTACCGCCAGCGATTTGACTTCTTCGACATTTGGGCCTCAGACACCCCTATCGGCCAACGACATCTCCACGAGCGCGACCGCGATGCGTAAGCAATCCCGACGTCATCGAGCACTGGTCGATCAAAAAGAGATGCCTTACCGCACCTTTACTCGACCGATGTCGGTGCAAAGCAAGAACGGCGCCGTCAAGCCTTTCCCCGCGGGCAGCTCTGTGACTTCTGCGCAGATTGGACATGGCGGAAAGGGCAAGTCATCGTCCAAGGCCCGGTCTACGGCTCGGGTGACACTCCATCATAACCGATCTGACAGGTACGACGAGGAGGATGAGGATGAGGAGTAGGTGCCTCTGTTATGATGCACGGTGTCGCTGCGCGCCATATAGCTCGTGCGAGGGTACTGAAGGGTAAAGAATAGGCATGAATGTTTGTGCTTTGTTGTGGTTAATAATGATGGATCCGTTGGCTAGCTTTATGTTGTACGCCGACTGGTCCATTAGTAGAGTCGGTGCGATGTTTTTATACCCATGTTCTCCACTTGACCAGCTTGAGAGAAGGCGACCTTCGCTGTTTACATTGTTGCGAGGAACTATTGGGTGGTCCGGATGCAAAAGAGGATAGTGATCGCTTTACCCAGTCTACCTTGTTGATTTCTGAAATTAGCTGAGTTCACAAAAGACGTCCGGTGTCGGTAGAATCCTACGCCATGTCATCGTCAAGTACAATAATGCATTCTCTTCCGGCGCCAACAACGTCTTCCGGCGAGACCGACACCCAATCCATAGCGGAGAAATGGACGGTGAACCTGCCTCGCCGTGTCCTTATTCTTCCGCCAACAGCATTGTTCCTAGGAGCATTGATCGGAATATCTCGAGGTGGATCAAGAGCTAGGCTACGTTTCTTGGCAGAGAATGCACATCGCCAACCGACAACGATACAAGGATGGGTGAGTTGCAGCGTAGTACTTTTGTTCACGCAACGCTGACTCTACCAACCTCGCTGCTACAGTACTTTTACACCAAGACACGGAATTACAGGATACTGTTCGGCTCACTGCGGGAAGGAGCAAAGACGGGGCTCACACTAGGTGCAGCCACAGCGCTCTACGTCTTGTCCGAAGAGGGCGTACGTTCGCTGCGGAATCGACTGGGAATCACCGAGGGCTTATCGTTCAGTACGGGCTCTACGCGAGGTGTACCGGAACAAGTTGAGGAACGGTCGGAATCAGTAGGGACAATAGCATCGAATACCCATACCGGACTCGAATGGCTGGATGGTGGGATAGCAGGTTCTGTATTAGGCGGCGTGATATCCGGTTTCAGTGAGTGGTCCGAGAATTCCTTCAATCCCGGATACGCCCTTCATCTTGTTGACGTGCCATCCTTGGCTGATCATAAATACTTGTAACCTGGCAGACCGGTTCCCGGCTCCTCTATTCGCACGGACGGTTCTCCTCGGCACGACGTTCGGAGCGTTAGAAGGCTGCCTGAGAATCGCGCAGGACAAGATCGGACGGCTCAAGGAGGAGGCTGAACTGCAAAGGAAGGAGAAAGAGAGTGAGGAGGTCACTTCGCAGGAAGGAGGCAAGGTCGGCAGTCGTTCGACATCAGGTGCATAATCATATATGGATGACATATCGATACAATTCTGCAACGTGGGGAGGGCGAGGGGGGAGGAGTGGGTGAGGTGCCGAAAAGTAACAAGGACGTACCCCATACAGGGTCAGGTACTGTCCCTCGTCATCGCTCATTGCGATACACGATCGGGTCACCTAGAGGCGGAATGACGGCGTTCACTTTAAAGTCCAGACATCCCGAGTCAACGTGTCGACAAGCGCTGGAAAGCGCTATCTCCCTGGAAAAGAATCAGGACTCGAAGTGATCTCTGGTTCGTACCGCGTCCGTCCCATGCTGAAAGGTGCTGTCTTTTGTTTGTTAGCAGTCCCAGTTCACATACAGTTGGCAGCTTGTTATCAGCGCCCAGCGATCCCAGAGCTAATCCTAGCTACAATCTGGCTTGCAAGTAATCGACTGCGATAAGACATGAGCATTGGAAGTTTCTCGTCTAATATGCTTAGCAGACGGATCAGCGGCGTCGGTTTCAGTTTCGGGTTCGACATTACAGTTACGAGAACCCAGTGTAGCAAACTGCAAGTTCGGCCGTGTGTCTCGTTGCTCTATCTCTGACGCTCTCTGTTGATCATGCAGCACCACAGCTTGCTCGCGACTCTATCACTGGCGTGTTGTCGCCTGATCACTGGTGGCCCCCAAGGTTCATACAACAGACCATCCGCCACCTCCCCAGATTTCCCTTGTCTGCACAGCAGATAACGACAAGTCAGGCCGGTTATAGGTCCGAATCTTCGAGAGCGGGCAGTGCATCTCAGCATCCCCAGCATCCTCATCTTCATCCTCAGCACCAGGATTCCCCTTCGAAATATAGTGTTCCCTGCTGGCGGAACGATTGGAGTGCGCATTGAAGATTCTTGCCAGGGTGTGTCTGCGCTCTGAGCTTCAGAAGTGGTGTGGAGGCGGGTGTTGTGCGCTGCATGAGGTCCAACGGGCGGGCAGGGTAGCATAGCGGTAGTAGGTCCTAGTCTATCCAATCTATCTTTCGTGACTGGTCACTAACCGTTTTCCTTCGTTGTTAGCGTTGTGCCCGTCTCATTTATTGGAGGGCGACGTCCGTTTCGACGTCCACCGAACCCTCACTTATACGGGAGCCATGCGCAAAAAGAATCTCTACGCCGGGTGACCGCCGCGAGCAACGACAAAAAGAGGGATTTTCTCCCGAACCTGGTTCGAACAGGTGACCGCGGCAGTCCCAAACTTAAGTGATTACAATGCCGCGCTCTTCCAACTGAGCTATCGGGAGAATTAGATATTGGCCTTCATGACTTTCGTATATATTGTTACACATATTGCGATCGTTCTGCGACTGACCGCAAACCAGACGCGTCGCGGTAATGAAGGAACGCTCGGCGAAATGCTGGAAACGACCTTGGATATGATCAGGGTGATGTCGATACTGACAATATCTGCACTTGCCCCGTAGATATCATAATCAATCGCCGTCATGTGCGCATGTTCTCCCTCTTGTCACCGTTCTAGCTGAGCTGATGGCTTCCCTCCCCCTTTCTCAGGTCTTCCGTCATTCAGCCTGCACCTGCACAAGAGGCACAGGTCTCGACATTGGTGGCAGAAGGAAAAAAGGCGATGGCCTTGGGAGAATGGGAGCAGGCGGTTGAAAAGTATGCGGATGCGTTGGAGATCATGTAAGTTCTTTGAGGAAAGAATTCCGATAATCCGAACTGCTCTGTCTGATGCTCGTGCAATGCTCACTGGTTTTGTTCGCATATCAGGCGAGGAATACACGGGGAATTATCAACCGAACTCGCACCGCTCTTGTTGCCGTATGGTAAAGCGTTGTTTGAGGTAGCATGTCGCCAGACAGGCGTTCTTGGAAAAGCGGATACCGGGGCAGAAGAACCAGAGGAAAAGGGTATGTCCATCGTCGTTCATTCCGTTGTGCCCCGCGATCAACGCTCAAGCCCCGGTCATCTGACAGGTCCTATCGGCAAGGCATCGCGCTTCACTTTCGAAGGTGACGAGGACGACGAAGAGGAACAGCCGGAAGAGGATGCACCGGAGGGTCAGGGCGAAGAAGGTCAAGCTGAGGGCGCGGAGGGGGAGGATGACGACTTTACTGTCGCATGGGAAGTCTTGGACCTCGCGCGGACGTTGTTTGAGAAGCAGGATCTTCACCTTGTCGCCAAGGATTTGGGGGAAACATATGCTGTGCTGGGAGATGTTAGTTTGGAGACAGGCAAGTTATTTCGGTCTCTGCATAATACGTTGCAGCGAGTAACCCCTTCCCGATTGGACCGACAGAAAACTTTCCTCAAGCGGTAGAAGATTATACGTCGGCCCTCAAGACCTTCCATCAATGCCTTCCCAGCACATCGCGCGAGATCGCATCCTCGCATTACCGACTCGCCATCGTCCTTGAATCCTTGTCGGATAGGAAACAAGAGGCGATTGACAACGTCGAAAAGGCGATTGAATCCGTGCAAGCTCGAAAAGCTGCGATTGAGCATGGGATGGATCCGGATAGTGTCGTTGATGTTGCAGAAGCGGAACACGAGGTCGGTGGACACAAGTTGAGAGCGCATAGTAAGGGTAAAGGAAAGGCAAAGGAGACGAGCAACCACAAAGCCAGTACACTATCAGAGGAGGAAAGGAAGAAGCAGGTTGCTGAATGCGAAGAGCAGTTGAAAGATTTGCAATTAAAGGTGCGTCTCCATCGGTTACCGTCTATTGATGCACCAAGGCTAACATATGCCTTTTTTCGGACTCAAGCTCGAAGACCTCAAGACAGCACCAGAGCGGGAAGGCATCGTTGAAGATACGATTGCACACCTTCTCGGCAACACACCAGCAGCCAGTGGGAATGCCGGCCAAGCAGTAAACGACGTTGCCGCCAAAGTGAATGACCTGACGAGCATGGTCAAGAAAAAGGCCAGAAAGACGGCTGATCAAGCGGGCGTGCCTACCAGTACAAAGGATATCAAGAAGCAAGCGGCTGCTGTTCAAGAGCAAGCGGTCGATCAGGCATCTACGATCAAGAATCAGCTTGTCGATCAGGCTTCGGCTTTGAAGGACCGTGCGGCGCATCAAGCGTCGACTGTTGCCGATCAGGTTGCCGATCAAGCCTCGACGATGAAGGATCAGGCGATTGATCAAGCTTCGGTACTCAAGGAACAGGTCGTCGACCAAGCCTCGTCGTTGACAGAGCGCGCGGCAGATCAGGCTTCTACCCTTACGGACCAGGTCGTCGATCAAGCTGCAGCTATCAAAGACCAACTTGTCGATCAAGCGTCATCCGCCGCTGAATCCCTTCGAGACCAAGTGACGGAAGGTGCCCACGTTGCTGCCCAGTCGCTAACGGAAAAGGCGCAGAGCGTGCTCGAACAGGCCCAACACACGGTGGACGAGTTGATGAAGGCCGGCACCACGCAAGCGCAACATGCGATTGGTGTCATCAAGTCCGCCGCCAATGGGATTGTACAGGAGATCCTGGATGAAGGCAAGGACGTTACTCGGGAATCCGTGGAAGCCGTCCAGGGCGTAATCGATGATGTACGGGAGGGCAAAGAAAAGGCTGTCCATGTTGCCGAGGATTTGGCCAAGCACGCTCAGGAAACGGCTCATGCGGGCTTGGATGCGGCGAAACATGCGGGTGAAGCGGTTGTTCAAGAGATCATGGAGGAAGGGCAGGAAGTCACCAAGGAAGCTGTCGAGGCTGTCACGGGGACTGCGGAAGACGTGCTAGGTGGTATTGAAGCGATCGGTCGGGAGGGTAAGCGAAAAGTGGAGGAGTTGAAGCCAGAGGAGATGGTAGAGGAGAGCCATAAGAAGCAAAGGACCGAGTAGGTGGATCGGTGATGCAAGTTCTGGAGCCGAAGGAGGGGCAAGGGCCTAATAATGAATCAAGTAGTCATACAACGTTATACTATGTAAAAGACATTGCAATCAATCATCCTGTCTACATGAACTCTCCTAGAACCTGCGCAAATTCACGAGCTAGCGTTCCTTGATCAGATCCAGCAGCGGCAGCGCCGAGGTACATGGACCGAAGCCCAGCTATCGTCACGCGCAACACCGCCTGTCTCTCCTGCGCCGTCGTCGTTGCCGGTCCCGATGTCGCCGCCGGTTCAATTACAGGGGACTCGGGCGCGAAATCTAAGGCGGGAGAGGAAAGGTCGAGGTGCCCCTCGTGGTTTGCGAATACGGCGTTGGTACGCAGTTGTGCCGATTGAGCGGCTTGCTGCAGGCGGGTTTGCGTATCGACGACGGCAGAAGGGGTGGCGTCTTTCCCCTGTACGACGTTATCGGCCGTTTGCTGAGGCGATGCAGCTTGTCCGGACGAAGTGGCGGGTAATGCCTGATTGGCATTAGCGGGTGGAGACCTGTGCGAAGAAATTATTCCGATCAGCAACAAAGGCGCATACGGACAAGGAAGGACGTGGACAAGGGAAAGGAGGCGAGGAACGAGCGACTTACCAGCTCACAGGGGATTCTCCACCCGTGCCCCAGTACCCTCCAGCGGGAGTAGATAACCTACTCACTCCACGCGGACTCGGCGGGTTGCTGACTTTGAGCCCGTCTTCCACGCCACCGTAAGAGGACCAATACGCGTCGTCCCCCGCGCTGCCCAAGCCGCCGACAGGAGTCGTGAAGCGCGAGACAAAGGGGGAGATTGTCACTTTTTTCACGAGGACCGAGGGAGGTAGAGTTGCGTTGCCCGGAACGTTGCTTCCTAGCGAGAGGTCTGCAGGCGAGTGCGAAGGGCTGGGTGATACGTCTGCGATGGAGGGCGCGGCGAGGGTTGATTGGGATGTTGCTGATAGTGGGTTGGTATACGACTGTGCAGGGAGGCCTGATGAGGAGCCTGGTACAGGTGCAGGTAGGCCAGTAGAATGCATGTTTTCCTGCGGTATTTTTCCGCCGGCAGAGGCTGGTTTCTGCTCAGTGGTAGCGGATGGTGGTGGCTGCGAGCCTTGCTGCGCCTCTTGCTCGGAATCGCTGTACCCTCCCCAGTAATCATCATCGTCTGGCTGGTCTTCGCCTCCCACTTCACCGTTCCCTTGGCCCTGTTTCCCTCGAGTGATAGCGTCAAAAGCTTCTCGCGGAGAGGTGGACCATAACACATCCTTTGAGCTTGTCGACGACGACGTTTGTTGCTCTTCTGCTCGAGCTTCTTCCAGCGGTTTGACGTCAAACAGTTTCCACTCATCGCCCATACTCAGCTGGGTTCGGTACGACACACTCGCACTACCGATCTCAGCATCCACTGGCTGAATCCTTGCCGAGTCATCGGGGTTGTCGTCGTCGCCATCCGAGGAACGCTGTTCCGGGAAAAACAAGATCCGGACGCCTTGCTCCTCGTCTCCCGGGTGCGGGACAAGGTCCAGTTTCGCAATCAACGTCTGTTCATCCAATGCGCGATACCTTACGTTCCACGACTCCCGGTAAAGCGCAACTTCGATATCGTTCCCTTCCCCCTGCAGCTGCACTTCGTTGGAAAACTCTGGATCCCGCTCGTGCGTCTTGGAGTCCGCGATGGCCCGCAGCCGGGACGAGAGGTCCTCCGGGTCGCCGCCTTCTGATTCCCCTTGCGTACGGGGACGTTGGGCGATGAAGCGATCATCATTGGGATTTGACGGGTTCGGCGGAAGGTATAGCTGGCGCGTCTTGACTGCCGAGGCGAGCAGGTCGGGCGCGAGCGGGTACGCCGGCGGGAGGAGGTGGGCGAGGATGGTGACGAGCCGCTGCGGGTTGAGGGGTTCGTGCATTGTAGGCGTGCGGCGGTGGCGGGGGTGGAATAGAATAGAAACGACCAATAGAACGGCGGTGATATGGGCTGAATGACGAATTCAATCTCGCTGACGGCCGCGCGGAAGCAAATAATTTCGCCCGGCCGCTGAAACAGTCGCATTCAATCCATACAACCCATGTATACAACTATCGCTGACCGCAATGTACATTGTTCGCATTTATCTATATCATCTCCACAGCAGCCTCTTACGGCTCATACCTCGGCAGGTATCTAACATGCACCACACTGTTCCCGGCAGACCCATTTCCGTCATTCCCTTGCCCGGAAACGGGTGGTTGTTCAGGATGCGAGAAAGCCGGAGGCGCAGCCGGTGGTGCGGCGGTGATCGTCGCCGTCGCCGCCAACTCGGACGGAAGGTCAATGCCCAACGTGCGATGCGGGATGGTGAATCGGCGTGGCAGAGTTGCAGATCGCGCGACGGCGACGGCGGCAGCGGCGGGGGTTACGACTTGGTTAACTAATACGGACGATTCATC